CCCCCCACAAACACACACACGGCGCGCGCACAAAAATGAATGCAAAAGAGGAGGCAGTTAGTTGCCAAAACTATGCTGGCCTCTCCGCGCCACCGCCAGAATTGTGAAATAGACCACTGGAAATGATTGTGGAATCTAGTTTAAAAAACCTCCACTTCGCTGCAACTAAAGCGTCTGCGTCACTAGAAACGCACTTGAAAGTTTATCTTATAGCTTGTTTTAGGGTTTCGTTGGGTTTTTTTCCCTCTTTTATTTTAGTTTGTTTTGTTTCTTTACTCTTTTATATTTGTGTCTAAATCACAGGGAGGAAATGACGTAATTGCTCCGTGTTATGGTGTGTTTAATGTCAGATCATCAAACATCAGACTCACGGACACATATAATGTTACCGATGGCAGGTAGAAAGATGAGAGTTGTGTGTCTCTGAGTGAAAAGGAGAGAGAGAGAGAGAGAGAGAGAGAGAGAGAAAGAATGATAGACAGTTGCACTTATCTATCTAACCGTCTATCTGTCTATTTATCTCTTATTTATTTTTATTTTTTTTGTATTTTCTTCCCGTATGTCAATATCTTTTGATCTTTATCTTTATTTGCAATTCAATCACACACCAACACATAAACCTATCCTCCTCCCTCCCCTTCCCTTCCCTTCAATCCTCTTAAAGCAATTCAGAAACGTCCCAAAGCAAATTTTAAAAGTGCCAAAACGCTTTTATTTTGTATTGAAAGTCTCAAACACATAAACCAGGATTATTTGTAGCTGAGCCGCCGTGGTGTGCAGTGCAGACTACACAATGGGTGCTGGTGTCTCCAAGATTTACGTCCATCTCTCCACCTCCTTCCACACACACCAATCACTCTGTTGTTCATTTATATACTCACTTAGAAACACAAACACACACACACACACACACACACACACACACACACACACACACACACACACACACACACACACAGGGGACCTGGCCAGTGACAGACGTGGGTCTCCAGACAAGATGAGTCATCCAGACTGTCACAACAGACCTTTCTACAGCGGGACTTTTACATTGTGGATCACATAAAGGAAAATAGATTTTTAAAAAGGAAACATCTTTACTTTCAACCCCACAGAGACAAGACAAGGGTGTGGTCCGGTTCTCCGCATTGTCTGGTAAACGCTACGGCTGTTTTTTAAATAGCTTTTTTGTTGTTTTTTAAACCTGGCGTGCACTGATTAGATTAGCTGGAAGGTCATGTTTTTGGTCATCGTCCTGTAACTAGACCACTATATTTATTATAGTGTTATGAAAAGGGGACGCACACACACACACATACACACACATACACACACACACACACACACACACACACACACACAT